GCAGGCCGCCGCCCTGCGCCAGGAGGCGCTGGACTACCTGGCCGCGGCCGAGCGCTACCTGACGCCGCCGCCGCCGCGGCTGCTGGCGGTCGGCGGCCTGTCGGGGACCGGCAAGACCACGCTGGCCCGGGGGCTGGCGCCGGCCCTGGGGGCGGCGCCGGGGGCTGTGGTGCTGCGCAGCGACCAGATCCGCAAGCGCCTGGCCGGCGTCGGCGAGACCGAACGGCTGCCGGCCTCGGCCTATACGCCGACCGCCTCCGCCGAGGTCTACGGCGAACTCGCCCGCCAGGCCGCCGGCCTGCTGGCGGCGGGTCATGCCGTGGTGGTGGACGCCGTCTCCGCGCGGCCCGAGCAGCGCGAGAACCTCCGCGCCATCGCCGAGTCGGCCGGCGCGCGCTTCGACGGGGTCTGGCTGGAGGCCGCGCCGGAAACCCTGAAGAGCCGGGTCGCCGCGCGCCGGGGCGATGCCTCGGACGCCGACGCGGCCGTGGTCGCGCGCCAGCTCGACTACGAACTCGGCGCGATCGACTGGCGCCGCATCTCGGCCGAAGGCGGGCCGGAGGCCGTGCTCGCCCGCGCCCGCACCGCGCTGGGCCTGGCCTGACCTCCGCCAGGCCAGGTCCTTCGGCGGCCGCCTACTCGCTCGCCACCAGGTCGCGGTAGGCGTGCCAGGTGGCGTGGCCGATCAGTGGCAGGGTGATGATCAGCCCGAAATAGAAGGTCAGCAGGCCGGCCGCCGTGAACAGCACGATCAGCGAGGCCCAGACCAGCATCGGGAAGAAGTTCTGGCGCACCGCCTCGACGCTGGTGACCACCGCGGCCATGACGTTGACGTCGCGGTCCATCAGCATCGGCACGGAGACCGCCGAGATGGCGAAGGCGATCAACGCCAGCACCGCGCCGACGGCCGTGCCGGTCAGCAGGAAGGGAATGGTGATGTCCGACAGGAAGACGTCGGCCAGGAAGTTGTCCGGGCGCGGCGGCTCGTAGGAGAAGAACAGCATGAAGATCAGGAAGGCCAGGCGCATCCAGGCGATCCACAGCACCAGGCCGACCACGCCGATCAGCGCGATCTGGCCCAGATTGCGCTGCCAGCCGGCGAGCGCCAGGGCCATGGAGGTCGGCTCGCCCGCCTGCAGGCGGCGCGAGGTTTCGTAGAGGCCGACGGCCAGCACCGGCGCGACCAGCAGGAAGCCGCCGGCGATCGGCAGCAGCACCTGCCAGAACAGGCCCAGCTCGTAGGCGATGCCGAGCAGCAGGAAGCCGACCACCGTAAAGATCGCGCCGTAGCCGAGCCCGACGCTGGGGGCGCTGCGCAGATCCTGCCAGCCGGCGGCCAGCCAGGCCCAGGGCCGGTCGACGCTGATCTTGCGGATCTTCGGCAGAGGCTGGCCGAACACCGGCACCACCTCGTCGCTCTCGCGGCCCAGCCCTTCCTGCGTCTCATCCTGTGTCATCATGACGACGGCCTCCTCCCCCGAATTCTAAGCCTGTTTCTGTTCACCAGAATACCGTGGCGGAATTCTGTGTCCGTTTTGGCCGCCGGCTCAAGCGCCGCGTGGGCTGCAGTCCGAGAATTCTCCGCCAGGCCAACCGTCGCCCGGCCGGACAGGCGGCGGCCCACGCCTTGCGGTTGTTCGCCTGCCGGCTTCCAGTAACGAGAGCGGGAGAGCAGACGGCCTGCGGCAATTTGCCGGGGCTGTCTTAACTGAAACGTTAGGGGACAAGGCTAGGCATTGACGCACGTCAATGTGCCCGAAGGGCGGTGTGGAGTTCTCTGCCGGCGAGCGGCGGGGTAGGTGCGCCTGGAGTCCAGGCCTTTGGGGGCCGGGCCGCCTGGGGGAAGTCTTCCGCCGAACCGGGTTCGGACAGCAGAACAGCAAGAAAGGCCGCGCCTCATGAGCGACATTGCGGCAACCGCGACCACTGGGTCAGGGTCAGAACGGACGACGGCGCTCGACTATGCCGACGACGTGATCCGGCTCTTCGTCATCGCCACCGTCTTCTGGGGGGTGGTCGGCTTCCTGATGGGCGTCATCATCGCCCTGCAGCTCGCCTTTCCGGAGCTGAACTTCAGCGAGCCCTGGACCACCTTCGGCCGGCTGCGCCCCGTGCACACCTCGGGGGTCATCTTCGGCTTCGGCGGCAACGCGCTGATCGCCACCTCCCTCTATGTCGTGCAGCGCACCTGCCGGGCGCGGCTGCTGGGCGGCGAGGAGGCCGCGGCCTTCATCTTCTTCGGCTACCAGCTCTTCCTGGTGATGGCCGCCTGGGGCTACATCAACGGCATCACCCAGGGCCGCGAGTACGCCGAGCCCGAGTGGTACGTCGACCTCTGGCTGACCATCGTCTGGGTCGCCTACCTGGTCGTCTTCGCCGGCACGATCCTGAAGCGCCGCGAGCCGCACATCTACGTGGCCAACTGGTTCTACCTGGCCTTCATCATCACCATCGCGATGCTGCACATCGTCAACAACCTGGCGGTGCCGGTGTCGTTCTTCGGGGCCAAGAGCTACTCGCTCTTCTCCGGCGTGCAGGACGCGCTGACCCAATGGTGGTACGGCCACAACGCGGTGGGCTTCTTCCTGACCGCCGGCTTCCT